GGAGCACCTTGGACAGGCCCAAGCCTACCTAGAGAGGAAGACAGATTGAGCTGAGCCCAAACCCCTAGCCATCCCCACCAGGCCCCAGACATGTGAGTAAAGGTGTCCTGGACCCTTTAACCCACAGCCCACCCATTAGCTGAAAACCACCAAGGACCTGATTGCTAGGTATTTGTGCAACCACCTAGCCAGGCCCAGCACAAATTCCTAACCCACAACCTTGTGAGATACAGCAAAAAGGTAGTTGTTTCAAGTTCATTCAGTTTTGGAGTGTTTGTTACACAGCACTAGATAACCATTGCAGCAGGTCTGGGTGAAGTTCGGGCACCCACACTTCTAACAAGCACTGAGTCAATTCTCATGCACAGGGTCATGGAAACACCTTGAGAAGCACTAGAAGAAAGCAGCCACCTCCAAGCCAACGCCCTCTAGGTAGGTGTCTATATCACATCGTATGGAAAAAGACAAGGCAAGCTGGAGTAGATATTTTGGGGAAGAGGAAGAGGAAGATAGAGACAGAGACAGACAGACAGGGAACAGTTTGAAGGCAGAAATATAAAATCAGACAACTCAATACATCAAGCAATGATTCCTTTTTTCCTGGTGCTGGAGTTTAAGCTCAGGGCTTTCACACTGACCTACATCCCCAGTGTTTTTTATTTTTTATTTTGAGACAGAATCCCCATAAGTCACTACGTTGCCTGGACAGGGCTCAAACTTGGATCTTCCTACCCCAACCTGCTACAGTGCTGTGACTACAGGCTCTCACCAGCACACCTGGCTCAAGCAATGATTTGTGCCTCTTCTGTGGTGGTACAGGAGATACAGAGCTGGATATGACCCAGGCCTGCTTGGTGGAGCTCAGGATCTAGACACAAAATAGCATCGGGGGACCCAGAGCTGGGGCAGGGCTGATTGTGGGGTCAGGGCACTGTAAGCCACTCTCCCAGCTTGGGCTGTCTGGCGAGGGAAGGATGCCCGCCTGGCCTGGCCTCCCATCACAGGTCTCTCCTGCTCTTGCCACTGGGTCAGGGGGTCCCTGAAGGACTGAGCAGGCCCAGGACTAGGGGGCTGCCTGGAAGTGGTGTTCACCTGGGAGGTGGATGTGGAGGCACAAGAGGAAGCAGGAGAAGTGACATGGTGGGGGACAGCAAGTATATAGGGTACAGGGGGAAGGAGGGGGGTTGGGAGGTAGAAAATGCTGAACATAGGGACAGGTTGCGTGGAGTGTGTCTGGATGGGGGCAGGAAGAGCAGGCAGCACAAATTCATCCCAGACGCAGGGAACTAAGCCTGAATCCCTGACCCAAGACTCCTTCCCACTGCCTTATTCATGGCACTGACATTCCCACAATGCAAATGGCGGACTGTCTGATGGACCAATTTTGGCCAGTGAGACTAGAAGGAAGATGCATTGAGAAGAGGTTGAGGAAAGCGTTCAGAGCGGATGTCCAGCTATGAAATATTTATTGAGCATCTGCTTAGGAGCCAGAGCTGGGATGCAGCCATGAACAAAGTCCTTGGCCACACAGCGCCTACGTCGAGCATTCAAAGACAGAACTAACACAGCAGTTGGGTATAAGATGGGTGATAATAACATAAAAGTTAGGAAGAATCCTCCAAAAAGATAGGCAGATGGCCAGGACACACACAGAAAGATGCTCAGTGTCACTAAATGAGATGCTACTTCATGCCCGATAGGGTGGCTATTATTTCAAAAAAGGATATAAGGAAAAGAAAAGAAAATAACAAATGTTGGTGAAAATGTAGAGCAATGGGAGCACTGTGCATTGCTGATGGGATCTACACAAGGAAGCCACCGTGAAAACAATTCAGCAGTTCCTCAAAAAAATTAAATGTAGAATTAACATATGGCCCAGGAATTCCATTTCTGGGCATATACCCAAAAGAGTTGAAAGCAGGGACTTGGCCAGATATCTGTATATTCATGTTTGCAGCAGCATTATTCACAATGGCTAAAACACAGAAGCCACCCAACTATCCATCAACAGATGAATGGACCATAGTCTATCCACACAATGGAATATTATTCAGCCTTTAAAAAGAAGGAAATCCTGTCCTATGCCCCAGCATGGATGACCTGTGAAGGTCTTATGCTAAATGGAATAAGCCAGTTCCAAAGAGACACATGCTGCGTGATTCTACTTATAGGAGGACCCCAGAGCTGTCACATTTATAGAGGCACAGAGTAGAATGGTGTGTGCCAGGGCCGGAGGGAAAGAAGGAGGCGGAGTTAGTGTTTCAGGGATATGGAGTCTCAGCTTGGGAAGAAGAGCAAAGTCCTGGGGGTGGATGGTGACGACGACGGCACAACAATGTGAGTGTAATTAACACCTCTGAACTGTACACTGAGAGCAGTTAAAATGGTAAGTTTTATGTTATGCATATTTTATCACAATAAAAAAATGTTTTAAGAGGTTAAGAGGGGAAGTCTGTTGCGCAAGGAGACACTGCTTGATGTGGGAGGCCTTGGAAGGGTCCCTTGATCACCAGTCCTCTGAGAAAGATGTAGGTTCAGAGGGACAGGGAAGATAGGGGCGGGCACCAGGCGGGAGCGGAGCGTGAGGCCGGGCCCAGACAGGCACGCTGGGGCTGACTGAGGACGAGGGGAGAGCTCCGGGGGCTGAAGGTCTGCAGGGAGAAGGGAGGAAACGGGGGGCTCTGACTTGGAGACCAGACTGTGGGTCAAGACCCCAGGAGGAAGTGGACAACACCCTCCAAAGTCTAAGTGAAAAGGCGGTAGAGGTGCGGGTGGGGATCGGAGAATGGACCAAAGACATAATGGTGAGGCGCTACCACCACCCCTCAGCTTTAAGTCCTACAGGGCAGAAACCGAAAGTCAGAGCTGGACCAGAACTGCAGGAGGGGCCACTGGGCCAGGGCTGGAAAGGAACCCAGCTCGGGGAAGAGTCCAACTGCTCCCTCCTGCCATCGTCCATGCTGCTGGGGATGCCTGCCCTCGGGCGACCTCAGCAGGAGCCACAGCAGGGGCACCTGGGTGCAGAGGTCAGCCTCTCAAGGCCCAGGGCAGGGCAGAGGAGGGCAGAGAAACCAGCACAGGTGGTGCCACCATTTGTTGAAATGAGTAACACAAGAGTAGAAGCAGCTCTTCTGGAAATTTGGCAGGCTGGGCAGGGAAACCAAGGAAGAGGTCTATCCCCATCAGCCAAGGCAAGAGACTGGGGGGGAGCAGGACCGGTACTAACAGACAGCCACGCTCTCAGGGTTCCCCCATCGCTGGTGGAACAAGGCCCCCAGGTTTGCTTGAAGCCAGCCTGCACTCCCCAACACACACTGCCCATGCCCTCTCCCTGAAGCAGCTCTGACTGTAAAGCCCGGGAAACAGGGGCTGTAGAGACAGCGGAGGGAACGGCAGCAGCGCTGTGCCTGGCTGGCGCAGCCTTCCCAGGCACTGGCTCCAAAAAGACTCAAAGCCAAGGCTGGTCAGGAACCAAGTCAGTGTGGCAAGCAAGGTCTCAGGAAGGCAGCTTCATTTAAGGAATGAGACGGAGGATGCCACGTCCTTCCTCTACTCCTCTGCATACACCCAGCACACACCTCCAGCGAGGAGAAGCTGCAGCCCTCTGGGGCACCCCTCCCACCCCTTGATCTGCCTGCTCCCAGCTCTGCCTTGGGAGGCCCAGCAGAGGGGGCAGCTGACTGGTGCTCTGCCCACCCTCAGCCCCCGCAGATGAAATATTCATGCAGCCAGAAGGCAGAAGCCCAGCTGATGAGGATGCCTTCTGGGGGCTCCAGGGCTGCAGCAGCTTAGCCCACCCTTAACCTTTGTTCTGCAAACAGTGTGAGAATCCTAAACACACACACGCACATGCACATGCACACGTGCACGCACACACACACACACACACACTTCAAAGACAGGTTTGCAAGGAATCCTGGCAAAAGGAAGAGGGGAAGGGGAGGAGAGTACACACAGATGCAGACTCAAAGCCATGGATACAAAATCAGACACAGACTCAAAGCCACGCAGACTCACAACAAACACACTCAGACCCAAGCGCAGCACTGTGTCATACAAATTCTTCTTAAAATCTGAACTCTGAGGGCCAAAGATATAGCTCAGTGGCACAAGTGCCTGCCTGGGAAGGGCAGGGTCCTGAGTTCGATTCCCAGTACCAAAAAAAAATCTGAACCCCAAATTGGGTGTGGTGGTACACATCTGTAATCCCAGCGCTCTGGGAGGCTGAGGTGCCCGTCTTAGGGAATTTAGTAACTCAGTGAGACTCTATCTTAAAATAAAGGGGTTGGGGGTGTAGCTCAGTTGCCAAGGCCCTGGGCTTAATCGCCCGTACCTAAAAAGAAAAATCTGCATGCTTGTGTATCTGACTTGCCTTGCCCCTGTCCTATCCTTCCGACCTGTTCTGGACCTTCTAGCCCAGTCGCCTGATACAACCTTAAGGACACCTCTGGAGGGCGTGAAGCAGGGACCTGCACCTTCCTGGCTTCCACTAGGGAAATGTCTGGGGCTCCTAGAGCCCTCACTCCGGAACACCCTGCTTTTGGCCTGCTCGTTGAAGAGGCGAAAAGGGACAAGCTACCCAAAGTCACTCCAAGAGTAACCAAGTGGTGACTTGCACTCAGGACCCTATAGTCCCGACCCAGGAACGGGAAAGGCCTTTGTCCAACCTCCAGGAAACACGATGACAACGACGTCCTGGCGCTGTCCCATAGCCGGACCCCACCTGCGCAGTCCTGGTGAGGAATCTACATACCAAGTGATGTTCTCAGGTCCAAATTAATCTTGCTGGCCTCTTGCTTCTCTCAGGGCTAGCACGCATCTCCTGCAAGGGATGGGACACGCGTCCCATGAGACAACGTCCTGCTTGGACGCCTCGCCCCTCTCTTCCGCCGCGGGCGGCCCTCCAGACCTGCAGAGGGCGCTGTGAGTGCAAGGCGCTGTGCCACGCTAGCCAGCAGGCGGCCCAGGAGGCCGCATCGATGGTGGTGCGCTGTCCAGCATTTCAGCAATCGGCGGCGGCGCCCGCGGGGAGACGGAGGGCGCGGGGCTGCGGGGGCCGCGGAGCCGCCCGGCCGCGCTGAGCCAAGGAGGCGGCCAGGGCAAGCGGAGCCAGAGGGCCTGACTCCAGCGCCCAGCAGAGTGCGGCAGTCGGCAGGGAGGTGAGAGCCCCTGCTGGGGCGGGGGAATTTCCCAAAGGGACTGGGGCTGGGTTGAACCTCGGGCCTGGGGCCCCAGTCTGCAGGCCCCAGGGCAAAGGGTGGGCGTTGGAAAACTACTAAAGTGTTCGTCCGGGGGCTCGAGTCACCTGGGGAGCAGAGATGAGGAACGCTGTTCTTTTCACTGAGAGGGATAAAGAAAGTGAAAACCCCGCAGGCTCACAGGCAAGACCCTGGGACATACCTTACCATGCCTCTGGCCATCAGGATGCCAGGGAGGTTCCCCAACTGCAATCCAATTGCCCTCCTCCAACTGAGGAGAAGGACCTACCCCCCAGGGAAGGGAAAGCTAGATGGAGGGTCCCTGTGGAGATGCTAGTCACTGGCAGGGACAGAGGGAGCAGACCCCCACCTGGATGCTAGGCCTCTGTCCAGCAAGGGGTGCCCGCAAGGGGACAGTCTGGCCCCTTTCCCAGCTACCCAAACGCCCCTGGCGAAGCAGGAGTTGGCAACAAGAACTGGGTCTCACACGGGCTGGCATTTACTCTCACACTGGGAAACCGATGGAGAACACAGATGAGAAAATAGCCACTGGGAGTTTGGGAGGAGGGTTCTGGGCAACGTCTCTGGATGCCCAGGGAGAGTTTCTAGAGCCCAGAGTGGGCCCAGCCCCATGGCAAATTCCTGGTAGAGAGGAAGGCTGGGAAAAGAGATGCAGCCTCTCCCTTGCTGCCTCCTCCCCCTCCTTCTCAGGGCTCCTGACTGGACAGTGTCAAAGCCTCCTGCAGTTCCTGCTCCTGGCAGAAGGTCCACGGGGAGGAAAGAGCCAGGGAGAGCAAAAGAAAAGCACCAGCCCTGACCTGGTATCCAGTGTCTGTGTTCTGTCCCTGCCATAATCTCTCACTTCCCCTGGACCTCACTTACTCACCGCTCCCACCAAGGGGTGGGTTGGCCTTTTGTCCTATGTCAAGAGGAAAGGCAGGTACTTCAGTGGACAGCAGAACAGGGGCCAGAGAGTTCTGCTGTCCAGGGGGCATCTTAAGGTCATGGCCCCAGGTTGCAGCAGGATCCTCCTCAGCCAGAAATAGGGCCAAGTTGGCTAGAAAACTGCTCCCACACAACATCAGCTTTTTGCTTCTTTAACTTTATGCCCCATCCCACTTTCCTGTGAGGGGTGGAGGAGGAATTCTTGAAGAGTGACTAGAGAATGGATTGGGTTTCCAGAGGTGGGAGTCAGGAGTCACTGACTCTGAAGGCAGAGAGACATGGGAGCAAATCTAGGTTATGTGGCCTCATGTGAGCCACTTAAGCTTGTGAGCCTGGTTCTGCTGTGCAAAGGACACCCTTGAGATAATGGGTGGGAAGCTACTTTGAATCTGTAAGGTGCTGGACGGGTCCTGGTAAATAGAATAGGAGTAAGAATTGCTAAAGGAGGGCTGGGGATTTAGCTCAGCGGCAAAAGCGCCTGCCTGGCAAGCGCAAGGTCGTGGGTTCGGTTCCCGGTACCGGAGAAAAACCAAAAAAAAAAAACAAACAAACAAAAAAAAGAATTGCTAAAGGAGAAGCTGGATACAGTGGGAAGGGTTCAACCACGTTTGAAGTGCGTCTTTCTCTTCCCCGAGGAGGTGGACATTGGTGGAGGGCATCATACCAGGCTGTGTGTGGGGCACAGTGCTACAGTTGGCTCAGATAATCCTCACAAAAGCTCCCCAAGGAAGGCATCACTGTCCCTTTTCAGGGCTGAGAGACAAGGTTTGAGTGACTTTCCCAAGGTCATGGAACCACTCGAGCTACCTTCCCAGGGGCACAAGTGTTATTGACAACCTGTCTCAACTTCTTTATATCAAGGCCCAGTTAAATGCCAGTTTCTTGATTCATGGTGCCAGCTGCACAGGTGGGGAGCCTGAGGCATATGGGTGAGGATGTGCAGTGCAGTAAGGAGATGACTCTCCCAAGGTCACCCGGATATTTCAAAGTAGAAAGTGCTTTAAACTGAAAACTGGACACCCCCACTGCCACCCACCCTTGCCATTGTCCCACCTCCAAAGGGGAAGTCTGGGCCAGGTCCATTTGCTCACTACTGTTTCTGCATCCCACCGCCTCTGCCTGGCAGCTTCTTGCCTACCTTGGCAAGCTGGTGATGCCTCTTCCTTTCTAAGTGGCTAACCTCCATCCCCTGAATGGCCCATGGTCACAATCCACTGCCAGCACTGCCGGGGTCAGACGCTCTTGCTGCCTACATCTTCTCTACCCACATTTTACTGCTCCCAGGGACTAAGTAGTAGCTACTCCTATCTCAGAAACCAGCCAGGGGTGCTGATGAGAAGGTTAGGAGAGCCCAGCTTCTCTTCCTGAACTCCTGCACACACATACAAGCTCTCCTGTCATCCTCACAGAACCTGGTGCAAAACTGCTGCCGTCTTCCCTCCACATAGGAGTAAAGCAAGGCCTGGAAGTGTGGTGTTTTCCAAGGTCACAGAGCAAGGTCTTGGTGCAACCCAAGCCCACTGTCCTGGAGGCTAAGGTGGTTTCTGCAACACCACGCCATCCCTGCTTCTCCAGCTTTCCTGGGTGAGGGTCAGCCAGAGCACTACAGGCCAGTAGCAGTCATGGAAGTGGCATGCACTAGAGGAACTGTGCTCTAGAACAGAAGTCCAAGGACCTTCCTTCTAGGCGCAGTTCTGATCTTGGCTTCTTGTGCTCACCTCGGCAGCACATATACTGATCCTGGCTTTTTGTATGATCTTGAACATGTCCCTTCCCATCTCTGGGTCTGTGTCCCTGACCACAAGATGATAGGATTTGAGCAGATAGCCCCAAAGTTCCCATCAGCACCAAGATTTTAAGATCTCTCTACTCTAGGAAGCCTGTGTTTCTGTCAGCAGAGCTAGGAGTCACCTTGAATGTTTCAAGGTTTATTCCAGCTCAGATTTCAAATTCACCTGTCCCTCCCAATGACAGGTTTGGGGTAACTGAAAGGGAAAACCACTGGAGGAGTCCCGTAGCTCACGTGGGATCCCAGGACTCTAGCCGAGCCAAGATTATGTGTCTCCTGGCCCTGAGTTTAAATTGCCTCACAGAAGCACTGAAGATGCCTCACATCTCCCAGAGCTGCCCACCAGAGCCCAGGAGGCCCCTAGGACCCCCCAGTGCACAGGTGCAGAGTGGCAACAGGGGTGCAGGGACTGACACTGATTCGTGGAGTTTTGGGGAGAAGGGATTTTGCAACAGGTGGGGGTAGGCAACGAGGCCAGGTCAAGTGGGGAGGGCCGGCAACAACAGGAGCAACCCAATCAATGTTGAGTGAGTGCCTACTATTTTCCTTCAACCCCCTGACTTTCTGGAGAACCAGGAATTGGGGGGCAGGAAATAAGGGCGGAAAGAACCCAAAAGGGGAGCCCACTGGAGGGCAGGGGCTCAGGAACAGGTGGTGCTCAGAGGAGAGCTGAGGTCACTGAGTGAGGAGGAGGCAGATGATGGGAAGTTTAGTGACATGGGGGGCTGCGTAGACAGGAAAAGCCCATTATCACCAATCACAGACCAAACCTGGGCCAGCCTGAGTCTTTCTATGACTTACCATGCACTGACACCTCTGGCTTCCTGCTCCTTCATTTTCTTCTGGGTCTTGGGCACAGGAGGGTGACAACTCTGGCCCCAGAGGCACAGCGCTGTTGGCCCTGTATCATACAGAACAGGGACCCAGGAACAGCTGAGCCAGGTCCTGGATGACTGTCGGCCTTGGTGGCCACGTAGATCCTGGCTCCAGGGCACCCTCTACCCCCAGGATGCCCTGCAGCTAAAAGTCCACAGCCCGGCAGCCTGTCAGGCTGCAGCGCAGCTTCCTCAGCAGGAAGCCTGGCTTCAGCCTCCTGCTACCCTCACCCTGGCCTCCTGCCCACTGCAGAGGCAGCTGTGCCAGCTGAAGCAGGCGGGCAGTGCCTGGCTCCTTCAGCATCCTGCCAAGGCCTCTGAAGGATACCAGGAGACTGGGCCCAGTTCCCTGGACCCCAGCATCCTTACCTGGGAGCTATGCCCCTCAGCTTCCTCCACACCATCATCCCCAGAGCAGCAGGGTGGAGGCAGTACCAGCAAGTTGTGTTGAATTCTTTTAAGAATGGCATGTTTTCATTACACTAGAATTGGAAATACAGAAAACAAGGAGAAAATAAAAATCAAGAATCGCACCACCCAAAGATACGCACTATGAACAGGGTGGTGTGTCTCCTTTGCAGGCTTTCCCATGTGTTCATAGATCTATAGAGTTAAATAACGGGGTGCATGTTGTCGGGAGAGGTCTGGCTCTGCTTTTTCCCTTCTGTCGTGAACATTCTCTGATGTCTTTAAAGATTCTTCAAAAAGCATATTCCCCCCTCCAGGGCTGGGGATCAAACCACCTACTGGCCGCAGAAAGGCTGGGGCTGGGAACCTGAGAGCTCAGGAGAGAGCTCCCCCCTGCCTCCCCTCCTTGGGTAGGAACAGCTTTGGGGTCTGCTGACTGTGGGCTCCCCTTAGAGAGGATGGCTGTGTGACCTGTGACACGTCTGCCAGAGAGAGCTGGGCCTGCCTACTCGATACCCTTTGCCAGGGACTGAGGTGGGGCTGGCCAAGTTGGCAGCAGGGGAGGTCACCCATCCCCTGGGGAGAACATGGGTCTAATAAAACCTCAGAGGGAAAAGCTCAGAGCTGGAATCTCAGCTGGGTTCTATCTGTACCCTCAGGTCTGATTTCTCTTCTGTACAGTAGGTATAATGCTACCTGCCTCCCAGTGTCCTATAAGTGATTCAAGTAGTGGGTTTCAAAGCATCTGAGAGAGCCAGGTGTGGTGGCGCAGGCCTGTAATCCCAACATGTGGGAGGCTGAAGCAGGAGGATTGACGTGAATTCGAGGTCAACCTGAGCTACATAGTGAACTCAAGACCAGCTTGAACTACATAGTGAGACCTTGTCTCACCACAAAAAAAAAAAAAAAAAAAAAAAAACCTGAGAAGGTTCAAATCTGGTGCA